AAGAAACAGAATTGGAAAATATTTAAAATATAAAAATTATTGATGTAAGTATATATAGAAAGAATTATAAATCAGTAAGAAAAAACAATTTAATAAAATTTTGAGCAAAGGATATGAATAGGCAATGCAAAAGGAGTTAAGTGTGAATCAGAAGCTCAGTCTCACTATTAATTAGGAAAATGCAAATTTAGACAAGAACAAAAATACGTTCACCTATCAGATTGGCAGAAAGAAAAAAAATCTGTTGATAATATCAACGTATCAATTGCTGTCAAGGAAACAAGCACTCACTCAGGTACTGCTGACTAGAGTTTAGCTTAGGCAAGCATTTTGGAAGGCAATTTGACAATCGCTCAGGAGTTAAAATGTATGTTCCTTTCACCCAGAAAGCCACTTCTAGGAATTATTCTGAAATAAATTCATATACTGTTCATTAAATAATTATTCACAAAAATAAAAATATGAGAATATAAATAAATAACCAAATATATATCCATATTATGGAACACCATTATGCAACTATTAAAAGGAATTAGGTAATCCTGGATCGGCATATAAAGATTTCCAGACATATAGTTAGGTGAAAAAAAGTAAGTCACACAATATGTATGATATGATCTCATCTAAGGTAAAGAAAGGACAGAGTAAGTACAAATGAACGTATGTGTAATTAAGTACATGAAAAAGACAGAAAGCATGCATAAGGAGATTTCTTTTACTCATTATTTCCATAATAAAGAGGAAAGGGAAAAATGATATGAGTTTGAGGAGAGGCTCTTCATTAGATCTTGTCATAACCATCTATTACTCACATTGACTTAGTACTAGTTGGTATATGTACTTGCAAAGCTCTACCTTGTCAAAATCAATCAACCATGCCAACTACTGTAGATTCCTTCTTGCTACAGAAAGCAGGGAGGCCTATATTATAAAAGAATTTTAAAAATTAATTTACTAACATTTTAAAGATACATCAGAAAATATGTGTGCTTATGTGTATGTATACATATAGGAGTTGTGATAAAGAATATGGTGAATGTTTAAATTAAAAAAATTATTACAGTAAAAGACACATTGCCATTAATCTCCCTCAAAATGTTTCCCCTCACTTTGAACACACTTATCCCGTCATTCTTGCCACTTTGGAAAGTAGTTCTGAAGTCCTCTTTCATGAGTGTCTTTAGTTGCACTGTTATGGCTGCCTAGAGGCCTAAATCATTTTGACTTTGGGGAAGAACCGGAAGTCACATGGTGTCAGATATGGTGAATATGGTGGATGAGGACACACCATAATGTTGTTGTTGTTGTTGTTGTTTTTGACAGAAATTGCCATATACCAGAGAGATGTGTGACACGGAGCATAGTTATGATGGAGGATGAAGTAAAGACAATCACAGAACTGCTTCAGAAAGTGGTAAGAATGATGGGATGATTGTACAAAGCCAGGAAGAGTATTTTGAGGGGGATTAGTGGCAATGTGTCTTTTATTGTAGTAATTTTTAAAAATTTAAGCATTCACTTATATTTTTGCAACCACACTGTGTATATGTATATATGCATGTATATATTTGGATATTTGGATTTCAAATAAATGTTGACCTGAGTGTTTACTGTAGGGAGGCTGTGATCTGATTTTACTGGTCTTATTTTACAAAATATTCCCAAGGACTTTGATTTTGGAGTTGTCTTCCCAACCTATGGCACATGCTCCTCTGCTAGATGCAATTGTGAAAAATATTCATCCCTTGTGAGAATGCATTGGCTTTCTTCTTTTTTTTTTAAGATTTTTATTGGGGAATTGGGGGATGGGAACAGCGCTGGGGAATTGGGGAAGGGGAACAGATAAGTTACTGTCCTTTTGTTCTTCAGTCTAGTTGTGGAGGACGTTCCTTCACTGGCCCAAGTTGGCACCATCATTGCGCTCTTCCCGGGCGAGGCAGATCAGTCACCGGCTTCTGGACGGCTGTTCACCACGGCTGCTGGCCGCTCACGCTGGCTGCTGGCTACATACGGTAGCCCATGGCAACCCACTGCAGCAGAGGCCGTAGCCTAAGCCGTGGCGGTCAACTCATGGCAGCCCGGCTCCAGGTTGAGCTGTTGTTCAGCATCTTAGCTGTAGAGGGCAGTGTCACTGGCCCTCATATGAGGGATCCAAACGGGGGCCCTCTGGTGTCCCAAGCCAGCTCTTAACCATTGTGCCACTCGGCTGGCCCTGCATTGGCTTTCTTGAAGCAGCCAGAAGGTATTTGGAACTGAGGTTAGTTTCAGAGATTGGCTATTTCTCTGGCCAGGGATTGCTGCTGCATTTAAATCTATAGATTGCTTAGTGATACTTAAGTCAAGGAAGTGAGTCATGCTGATACATGAGGAAGGACCATTCCAGGAAGAGGGGAAAGCAAGACAAATCCCTGAGGTATGCATGTGTGAGCAGTTCTTGAGGAAGAGTGAGGAGGTGCCAGTGTTTGAGGCATAGGGAGAGAGCTGAGGAGTAGAGGACATGAAGGTGGGGATGGAGGAGGGGGCTGCCTGCTGCAGGGCTTTGGCTAGCTTTGGCTCTTACTCTGAATGAGAAGAGAAGGCATTAAAGAGCTTTGCCTAGAGATGCCACGTGACCTGACTGGGAGTCATGTTGGCTGTTAGTTGAGAAGAGACTGTAGGGATCGAGGGTGGAAGCAGGGTACATCTAGGTAAAAGAAGATGGTTGTTTGGACAACACTGTTGGCAGCAGGGGTGGTAAGGAATAGTTTAAAAACAAACATATTTTGAACATAGAACTGATAGTATTTGTGGACAGGTTTGACTTGGGGTGCAAGAGAAAGAGAAGAGTCAGGGAGGACCCTGAGGTTTTTGGCCAGAATACCTGGACTGATGAAGTTGCCATTTACCAATCCGGGAAAGATTGAAAGAGGAACAAGTTTGGAGGGCAAGCTCAAGTACACAGTTTTGGACATGTCAAGACTAAGTGATTGCTGATGAATGGGGTCCGTGTACAGGTGGAAGCCTTAGCCTGCACAGGAGCCCGGACATCTATTTCATGGTCATGAGAGGTGGAGGGAAGTCAGGAATGTGAACACAGGTGTGCAAGTAAGTGTTGGCTAAGGAAGTGTATGGAAGTTCTGACCTTTTTTTCCTCTTTCTTCAATGAAATAGGAAGCAAGAATATAAACTGAAAGCCAGGAGGGTCAAGAAGTGTTGAAAATTTAGAAGGAGCTGGTGACTAAATGCACATAGGTGATGTAATGTGATTGGCAGGTAACACTGAAGGAGACCCATCAGCATGGTGGGTGAATCCAGTTGATAGTGTATCAAGGTCCATGAAATTTAAGCTGGATAAGAGGAAGAAAAAGCAGAATGGGGAATATGAGAAAATGAAAGAGCTTAAAATCAAGGGATTGCAGACTTCAGGGACAGAGTGAAGGAAAATATATTATTAATGAGATAACCTTTGGAAAGCACCTAAGCAGGAGACGTAACCATGTGATTAGAGGGTTGGAAATTTCAGTCCTACCCCTCAACCTCCAGGGAGGATAGAGGGTCTGAAGTTTGAATCAATTGCCAATGGCCAAAGATCTACTCAATTGTGACTATGTAATTAAATGTCTATAAAACCCCAAAAGGATGGGGTTCAAAAAACTTCTGGGTTAGTGAACACATGAAGGTGATGGGAGCATGGCACACCAGAGAGAGTATGGAAGCTCTGCACCCCTTCCCCATACCTTGCCGTTTGCATCTCTTCATCTGTCTGTTCCTGAGTTATATCTTTTTATAATAAACTGGTGGTCTAGTAAATAAAATGTTTCCCTGAGTTCTGTGAGCTACTCTAGCAAATTAATCAAACTCAAGGAAGGGGTATGGGAAGCTCTGATTTATAGCCAGCCAGTCAGAAATATAGGTAACAACCTTGATTTGCAACTGGAATCTTATATTTAAGGAGATGGTAGTTGGAACCCTTAATATATAGCCAGTCAGAAGTACAAGTTAAGCTGGTGACTGGTGTCTGAAGTGTGTGTGTGTGTGTGTGTGTGTGTGTGTGTGTGTGTGTGTGAGTCTTGATTGCTAAGTTATAGAATTTGAGGTTTTCTCATTACACTGATATTCATGCCTCACCTATCTTCTTTGCTTAGATGTGTTTAAGGCTCTATCATGTCGAATGATCCATACCCACACTCACAATATTCCAAACGGATTTTTAGGAAAAAGCGATTCATGGCATCATAAATCATTTGAACCAGTTTGGAAAACACGTAAACAAAATGCAGGCTCTTTGCATATCTCTGAATATTTTCCAAGTTATTCTATTAGTTCTATGTGAAGAGAAGATGATGTAGACTTTTATAGGTTAACTATTGAAAGTAGATCAGAGGTTCTAAATTGGAGGTGATCGTGCAGTCCATAAGACATTTGGCAATGTCTAGAGGTATTTTTGTTTGTAATAAGTGTGTGGAAGAGTGCTAATGTCACCTATTGGGCAGAGGCCAGGGATGCTGTTAAAAAAAAAGTCTATGATGTACAGGGCAGCCTCCCACACCAAAGAATTATCTAGTCTAAAATATCAATAGTATTAAAATTGAGAGGCCATGTTTTAGATGGGATAAAAACCTCACACTTCACTCAGACAACTTTTCTATTCCAGGATAGAACATAAATAATACTCTTACAACTAGAAGATGAGAGTACAGTCCTATCCATGCACCTTGCTCTTATGTTATGATTTTTTAATCTTTAAAATGGTATTTTAATATCTATCTCATGGGGTTGTTATTATTAAGTATGGCAATGTTCAGCCATCTGGCAAATAGTGGTTACTCAATAAATATTTGCAGAAAACAAGTCCATGAATACACAGGGATGGAGTCTAGAGGGTGAATATGAATAGAATTTACCCTAAGTAGTTCCTGAGCTCCTCACTCTTTTAAAAATCTGTACATGCATCACTACTTCTGAGAATGCTTTAGAGGAGAATAACATTGACAAAGATTCAGGGAAATGCGTATACATACTTTTTGTTCTTCTCGCTCTACAGCTGCGTTGCATTTTTCTATTCCCCAGTTTCTCAAAAAGTCTCTGAGATAGCCAAATAGTGTTCCAATTCCATATCCCATATAAGTGAAAACCATAACATGAAGAGGTGCTTCCTCAAAGGATTCAACAATTGGCTTATCATTAAAATGTGGTTTCCCATTTTGCTGAAAACACAAAAGAAAATCAAAGGTTAGCACTCTTCCATTACAATAAAGTATGATATTTAAAATTTTGGACTTTCAACCTTTTAAATTTCAAATAACATATTTAAAATTGTAAAAGCTGCTTGGAGAAAATTGGAAATTGATCACTGAAGAGGGCAATCAGAAATATAATTTTTTAAAAATATTTTTATTAGGGAATTGGAGGGTTGAGAGCAGTGCTGGGGAATTGGGGGAAGGGGAACAGACAAGTTGCTGTCATTTTTGTTCTTCAGTCTAGTTGTGGAGGACGTTGCTTCACTGGCCCAAGTTGGCACCATCATTGCGCTCTTCCCGGGCGAGGCAGATCAGTCGC